CTCTTCCTGCCTTTGGGTCAAATGTACTTTATATTAAATGGACTGAGAACAGAAAGAGTCTAGCGCCTAAAAATAATGCTTGCACAAGCTAACTTCCCCCCTCCCAATATATCAATATTAACCATGAACTGGAGAAAACCAAAAACAGCGAGATCTCTGCTAGAGGTTGTGATAGGACCCGAAATTAGCCAAAGCTCTGAGGTAACTCCGTCTAGATCTTCCCCACAACGCGCTCCCTAAAAAAAAAAAAAAACCACAACAAAAAAGAACAAGGACTTTTTAAATAAGAAAAGGCAGCTATACTAAAGTAACAACCAGAACACCTACTTTTAAATAGGAAAAAAAAAAAAAAAAAAAAACCCAAAGTGAGCATGTCAGAACAAAATGCAGAAAGGTTTTTATACAACTTGCCTCATGCCCACTCTGTCGCTAAAGCTAGAAATCAGCCTCCAGGCTTCGTTTCGGGTAACTCAGTGACTTCCTGGATTGCAGGAAACTTTACCCAGTCCCCGATGGACCCTAGGAAGGTTCTGTTCCACCACCTTCAAAGCCTGCCTGTCTGCAGTCTTCGCTCCCTGCTTCTGCGCCAGGCTGCCGTCTGCACACTGTGACTCTAAATTCCTGTTCGCAGTACCTCCTCGCCCCCCAGATCATGCTCTGCTCTTCAGGAAAGGACTAATTTCCTTCCTTTCAGGAGAGTCCCAGCAGCCAACTTGCATTATTTTAAGAAATATCGCACGATATACTGAACAAGCAAATCAGGCATGCTTTTTACACTGGTAAGGCAAGGGTAAATACATAGGTGAGACGTGTCTGGATTGGTGATGTCAGGAAAAAAAAAAAAAAAAAGCAACTGTGGGGTTACATGGGTAATACATGTACTGCTGTTTCCTCCTCCTTCAGGGCAACCTAAACCAAGGACAGGACATTGGTGCTGCAGATAGAACGCGGGACATGTCATGCACTGAAGTTTAAATTTATCATGTAAGCCTGAGAGATTGCGTATTCAGTTCGTTTTTGTGTTAGATTCAAGAAGAGAACAGCACCAAACTTTAGCTGCTCTGGGGTTTCACTTGAACAGCTGAAGGTAAAAATAAAAACTCATTTTCATAACAGATGTTATGGAACAAGACTATTAAACGCAGAAAATAGTTATTCTGGAACTGAAATATTAATAACAGGAAACGCTCATCTCAGGGGAAGAGAATTTTTTTCCTATGCTTGAGACTCCTGCATGACGTAACAGTGAGAAAGACAGGAAAGAGGAGCATGCACGACACGACGTACATAACCTGAGGACGAGTCTCAGGTTACGCTGATGAAAATGCCAGGGCTGAGTGCACCACGTTGTCTCATAACCTGGAGGATTATCAGATCCCTAAAGAACCAGCAGAACGTTTCCCAATTTCCGGACCGGAACTCAGCATCGTCACATATGACATGTTAAATCCTTTACAGCAGCAGCACATTTTCCCGTTAGTGCTAACAGAGTAAATTATAATTGTTTTTCTCCTTCAGTTTTCACTGTGTCCTCCAAATACACTCTCCGCTCTCCTCACCAGTTCTTAAGCTGCCACACAGTCAGGATGAATTTTACTTTTTCCTGTAAGCAAATCAAAACTCTTCGGGTAAGAAAAAGGACTGCTGTACTGTTGCTTTTTCTGGCTCATTTAGTTTTCTGAACTTAGATTATTTTTCAAATAATTTGATAAACGGTCACTGTGGACTCAGAGCTGTAAAAAGGTTTAGTTTTCTAAAGATAGAAAAGAAGTCTTGGCCTTTTTGAGGGAAGAGGTTAGAGCTTGTGTTCCTATTCTGCCAGCGTTTGGATGAAAAGGAAAGGAAAGAGTCTGACCATTGGGCTAATACCACTGGAAAATAAATTGCTTGGCTAGTAAAACATCAAAGAGTCTCTGCAAAGCAGAGCTAGAAACAACTCCTTATATCCGTTCTCTGCCCTGACAAGGACTCCCACGAATCGTTTATTAAACCAAAAGCACCAGAATCACAGCGTATTGTTACTTGAGTAAATCACAGCCTGTTGTGAAGCAGTTTGCTAAGGCTTTGCAAATGTAGTTCTTACTGACAGAAGTGGATTATCCTTAACAGAGCCAGTTAACAGTTCACGGAAATCATTTACAGTCAAAACGGTTATTCAGTATACTTATTCTTTTCTTGAAATATATGGCTTTTGAAAATCAACATTGTGAACAAAATATGTTGGTTTTATATACTGAATAATTGCACTTCTGAAACAGGAAGCGCTGATTATTATTAACAAAGTGACTTTCCGTTTCTATTCATTTAGAAGAATTTAACACAAGCAAAAGAAACATTCTGAACTTATCAAAAGATAAGCTTTGCCAAAAACAGTATCCTGAAATCTTGTTTCATGCAGACATCAAAAGTTCACCTTTTGGTGTGACTCATGCTATTTTAGCAAAATCTTTAGCCTAGTATTTTAGCTGAATCTTGAACTTCTCGTGAGATGAAAAATTTGTTTCTACCTTTGACCAGCTCCAGCTCTCACTCTATTAAAGGAGAAATAACATAATCTTGCAGCAAATCTTGACAACAATGATAGTTTAAATCAGGTGCCTCACCAGAAACAAAAACCTCTCCTTGCTAATCATTCCTTCACCTATCAAAGTGTTCAAGGCAAAGCTAAAAACGTCTGAAAACAAGTAACAACTTTCTATGTGTTTGAAGCGTAAAAAAATATTATGATGACTGTGATCTATATTTATTGTGAGCCCATATCAGAAGATTTACCTTAATTCTCTCTCTTACCAACAATCTGCGATAGAGACAAAGCTGAGAAGGAAGCAAGGGTGAGAAGGAAGCAAGGGTGAGAAGGAAGCAAGGGTGAGAAGGAAGCAAGGGTGAGAAGGAAGCAAGGGTGAGAAGGAAGCAAGGGTGAGAAGGAAGCAAGGGTGAGAAGGAAGCAAGGGTGAGAAGGAAACAAGATCATCCTTATTGCTGTATGTTGCTGCCTTGGAGGTAGATGAAAGCCACGGATTTAGCAGTGCAGAGAAACTGGCAGAAGTTTTGCTTATACAGCGCCTGTTCTATGGACAAAATTCATTCCCTGCAGTTCTCAAAACCTGGTGCCCGCCCAATGATTACATGAGCTTTTTTAGGGGGAAGGGAAGTGGCTTCCTACCAAGATGCAAAATATTAGGAAAAACTCTCAAGACTGGCATTAGCGATAAAAACGTAACGTACGAAGGAAAGAAGCGAAGGGATAAAAGTAATAAAAACAATGCAGAACAATATTTTATGCATACCTGTACAGAAAAACCTGGAAGCAGACATGGAAGTAAGGAACGAAAAGTTTCTTCACCAAGGCTACTGAGGAACGCTGGTGACTTTTCAGAAGGCAATACTCAGTGAGTCCCTAAAGCATTTGCTCATGTCTGGAAAGAACTGCATTTACTCTGTTCACAAACGGTATCTGCCTTAGTTAACTCCGGAACTTGGGTTTAAAAATAGCACAATAAAACTCCATAAGAAAAAAACTAGATCAAACTAAAAGAAACCTCATATAAATTGAATTGAATTGGTAGCTGTCAAATACTTGCCCCAGTAAATCACCGGTTAAACCGAAGTTCTGCTTTCTTAAGTGTTTGAGATGTATTTTACTATGTATTTAAGCTAAAAAAGAAGTAAGATTGCTTAGAATCTTAGCACTTTAGAGTAAAATTATTCTATCAGATAGCCAACATTAATGAAAATTTCCAATATAACAAAAAAGATTATCCTATAAAAATGGAAAGCCTGCATAGGTAAACACCAATTAGACAAGCATCAGTGTACACCTGCACAAACGTACAGGCTTTGTGTCATGCTGATTAGTTAACTATCGCAAGAGTCATCTGACTGATCAATACCGAACTATCAAATCTTGGTTTTAGGACTAACGTGGCCTTACTCTGCATTTTTCCATCAAACTAAAGATTGGATCTCTACCCCAAGGAGCTCATAAGCTAACAGCTGGATTTGCAAATAACAGGATTTACACTGAATAGCTCTGACACACCTAAGACGTCCAAATTTTGTGGACAACATATCGTAAACGAGCACTGATCAAAGTGACACACAAGCTAACAAGAAGATAGGAAGCAAGCCAACATTAAGGAGTGGGGAAGAAACATAATCTGTGACAAAGCGTTTCTTCCTAATTGTCCAGTTTACTTCACATTTTGTTACTCTCTTCCGCAAAAACAAAACACACAGTGCACAAACAGAAGATTAACGTGGACGGTTAACAAGGAGAACTTGACAAGAGCGACTGAGCAGAAAAAGACAGTTCCAGGCATAAGGCAGAGACCCGAAAATGAAACCATGCCAGTGGTCTAAGGACCATGCAAAGGAATGAGGAGGAGAGAGGAGAATTGTAAAGGGCAGAGAACAGAAAGAGCTGTTACTTAAGCACAGTCCCGTACAAGTACGGTGTGGAGGACGTGAATTCTGCTTGTATTTTACTCTCACCTGAAAATCTTTTCTATACGAGGGTGTATCGATTAAATTAGTGGAATTACTGGTGATGCCCATCTGATATGAAGCGAGCAGGATCAAGCCATGGATAGTGAAAGCAAGAGAAATTTGATGCATAGACTGAAGGACAGACACAGCTGGAGTAGCAGCAGGAGGAGTTCTTCAGGGCAGTATTTAGATAACTTGCTTAAAGTTGGAAGCCAAGGGAAGCAGTTAAAACAGTGAAGACAAAGGATAATCTTTCTTATTTAATATGCAACTGGATTCAACGCTTCCTTAGATGACAGAAGCAAGAGGCTTGCCAATATCCCAAGAGTTTTACCCTCAGACTTGATTTCCTTCAGGCTCAGACCCTGGATTTACTTCCGATTTTATACCATCAACTTGGTTATTAATTACTATCAGCAATGAAATTACTAATATATAAACAAATGAGACAAATACATTTCCTTTTCGGGTTGAATTTCAGAAGGTCTGTAGCTTATCTACTGCCAGAATATTACCTTGCCAACAAGCACCAACTGTTAGCTGCATGGCTATGTGCGAAGGGTGAATAGGCCAATCGTTGGTCACAAGGTAAGGTTCATAGGTTGTTCCATCCATGTATAAGGTAACAACGGGAAACTCAACATTGATGACATAGTAATGCCACTCTCTATCACAGATCTGAAAGAGAGAATACGAGAGAAAAAACATCAGCATTTTTTGTCTAGTGACTAATTTTTATAGCCTATGCTTTTTTTTTGTTTTTATAATTTTCTTGTTTCTAAATGCCACTAACGGGGAGAAATACAGTTACTGCAGCTTCTAGATACATGTGTGTTCATAGATATATGTATCACTGTCAGAATCATTACATGTGTTAATTACACAAAAGGCCAAAGTTAAATTTTTGCAGTAATCGCCTAGAGAAACGTCTTGTTATTAAAATTAGTACAAGTGTAAAACTGTGATTATAAATACCTGTGGTACATACACAGAATACATTTGATGAACGCAAGTATCTTAGAGCACGCTCTTTGAAAAGAAGGCGTTTATGAAACAGAAAAATTGCAAGAGTCAGTATTTGCTATTAATTTTTACATCTGTTAATACATCCGATTAATTTGTTAATGTCCATACGGACTTTTAGGAATACCAACCAGTATGCAAGGCCTGCGTACCTGGGATACTTACCGGGGGCCTCCATTACCCTCAAAAATAAGAAAATACAGAGCGCTGAATTACTAGATTGATTAATTATCAACGGTGTCACTGCACCGGCATTCAGCAGGTCCCGTTCAATGCATCAGGCCCTCCACTGTGCTAGGAGGAGCTCTGCTGTGCTCTGTACATATACACAACAAAGGACGGACTCGGTTCAAGTTGTATCTGCCTGGTCAGGGTAGAAAACCAAAATCTTCTCCATGCTCCACGCTTTAATCTAGAGCTTTGTTTCCCCAGCTGTTTTGAAAAAAATCCATACAGTTTCACTGATACCTATCAGCTTTGAAAAGCAATGCCCTCACTTACAACATACTTTCAAGAACAGAGTATCAACGTGAAACCTCACATGAATTTCTGAGCTGGACAAACAGGCCTTACTGCAACATCGTCAGATTTTGTTTTAGTTCTGAAACGCGCAGCTAGCTCACTCAGTTCCTCCGAAGAAAGAAGTCTAGTACGTAAATACCAATGCCTGCCTAATTATTTTTTTTCCTTCATCGCGTCTTTCAGATGTAAAAGTTCAAAGGAATAAATCAAAAAAATTGACAGGAAAGGGGCGTGTTTTTCCAAATAAAGCAACAAAATCATGCTACTTTCAATTATCTGTATAGATAGTTGTTTTCGTGGATTAAGAAACTAAAGTGCTTGATTGCAGATATCCTTGCTATTTCATAGAGGCAAGCAGAAAAGTTAAGTGATGTTTAAACATAGCACTTTGTCCTTGGCCGGGTTAAGTGCTATCTGCAGCAATATCTGCCCTCTGAAAGCAAAAGCTAATGTTTTGTTCCAGAAGACATTTCAATAAGAACTTAATCACTTCTATTTCAAAAGGATACATTTATTTCTGCAGACATCATAGCTCAACGGCAAGAGATAAATGCAGCAATTGGCTGCGAGAGCCTTTTATAAGCAGCACACAGCACAAATGTTTTCTGAAGGTTAAATGAACTGAAACCAAAATTGAAAGTAAATAAATTGGAAGACTGAAAACTTTATTGAACAAACAGCAATCACACAGAGTATTGTGCCGTCTTCCTTTTCAAGGAAAAAGCAGCATGCTGGGTTTCCCGAACTGATCATTCGATCGTGATGCATCATACCCCCCTGTGTCATTTTATACAAAACAAAATGAGTGATGGGTCTGAATTTGAGAGACACTGCATGATAAAAAAAAAAAAAAAAAACTCCAGAGGTCAATATTTCACATGTTTCGGAGAACTCTCCTGGAGCACTTCTTTTTGCAACTGTGAATTGCATCACTTGAAACGCCCCAAGCACTATGTAACGCGAGTGAGCAATCGTTCCCCCATATCAACAAAACAAAAGCACTTTAATGTGGCAAAGACAAACATTTTGGGGCTTCACGTAGATAAAAAGCATGGTGATGTGCCGCGTGCCTGATCATTCTATGGGCTGAAAAATAGGGCAGTTGCATTTTTCCAAAGAAAATGTTTTCTGCAAACGCAAGGTTACGTAATTGCCATAATTCAAGAGGCCAGTGTAACTAATCTCAAGCGCTCCTGAGAAAAGCGCAGCTGTCCAACTCCAGATGTCCACAGTGGACAAAGTACTTACTAATGTTTCTTTTTCTGATAAATTCTGGAACAGTGGCTAGCCCAAGTGTGCACAGCTCGGCAAAGTGCTCCAAAAATCACTTGCATGTTTTTCATTCAATTTCTAAACATACACACATCAACATTTTTTTCAAGGGAATTTAGGCACCGAAAATGTCAGCTTGGTGCTTACTGAGATTTCAAAAGCACCTAAACTGGTCAGGTTCCTAATTCTCCTAAGCTTTCAATACAGCTTAGGTACTCAAGACACATGAATATCCTACCAAACACTTTATCCAAATCTTTAGGTTCCTGTACAAAGTCCTACTGTAAAAACAAATACTCTAGAGGAACATGAGCTCTGGAATTCATCCCAGTCACTCAGCAGCAGGCAGTATTTTGTGCCTGGCCACTTCTCAAGCAACCACATAATGAAATAAGTAACTGCGGAGTGCAATTCGTTATGCTGCCGTTTCAGCCACCTCCTTCATGTTAACATATGAAGCCAGTTTTTCCCCTGTATGCAATTCCACTCTGGCAACAGAATGCAATACAATAACTGCAGTGAAGCCATGGAAATAAAATGACAAAATCTACCAGTCTGGCAAATAAAGAAATTTTAATCATCTCAAGAACAAACTTTATTAAAAAAAGTTTATGAAGTTATCCTCATGAGATAAAAGTACAGGTGAGTAAGCGTGGCTTTCAAAGACTGCTGGGTGGCCAGGTCTAATCACTCTTATCATGCCAGTCTGCCTCTAAAATGTATTAATCCAATCACGATGAACTAGCCAGCTTGGAGCGTTAGTGATGCTTCCGGCCTTTACACTGGGCCCTGTGTTTATGAAAGACAAGAAAATAGATGCAATATATATTCCTAGAAGTAAGTTTCTCAAGACATGAGAATATTTTTTTTTTCTTATTTTCTATAAGCACCTTACGATTTCCATGGATTTTTAAATTACTCTACTGCCACCACAAACAAAAAACACATTGCAGAAAATGACCTAGTGTAGACTGCAAGAACGTAATTGGGTGTTCAGGTATTCAGTATGCAGGGTGTGCTTACTTCAGTGGATACCTGGGTTACGTAGTGGACTTCCGTTTTCTAATACAATGAACAAATCATGCTTCTGCTGTGAATATGCAGGCTTTATAGTCAAAATTTGCTTTTGTGAGAATCAGCAAATATGCACTTAAAGTTGGCTTCGTCCTACAGCATCACCTGCCAGCATATTCATGTTGGGGAAGAGCTACCGAAAATAAACTACAGCAAAGTGCATACACGGACTAATCAAATTCATCTGACAATCTAAACTGTTATGTCTTGTAACAGTATTTATCCTATCCCAGTAACAGGCTCTGCGCATTAGGACTCATCTGCCTGTTCTCCACCTGCCTTTCCATTTCAACATCCAGGTATTTGCCACATCTGTTGACTTGATTAAATCTCAGCATACTGACGTGAAAAGGATTTAAACATTGGAGGCAAAGGGTCAGCGTACTCGTGACCACTAAGCAGAGCTGTTCAGATGGCAAAAATGTTGTCCCCAGTAATTCCACAGTCTCTTCAGAGGATTTTAGATAAAGCTCTAAAGTATTTATACTATGCACTGGTTTTTTGTTTTGTTTTGTTTTGTTTTTTTTAAATCATCTCCTTAGGTTTCGCTTTCTACATTTATCCTTTAGCCGCTCCCTAGCACGGCACTTTTTTTTTTTTTCCTGCTTGTAACATCAGTATGCCCTGCCTCAGAACTGGCAATAGATACAGTATGCGTGTAGTAGTTAAGGAAAAGGGAAGAAGAATATACTGTATTTGGAAAAAGAAAGGATCAATATACTCTAATCAGTTAAATTAATGGATAAAAAAAAAAGTAGCATCTCAATCTACTAGTTCAATGGTTTTTCCATAAGAACGCTGTCACACACGCATCCTGGACACGAAACTTACAGTTTGAATCTTAGCTTTTATTTGGATTTGATCACAAAGTCTCTTTGAGCAAGTTCCTGAATTCTGACAGCTGGTGGCAGCCAGGGAAGGGAGGAGGAGGAGGGGGGAAAAAAAAATCCAAACAGATCGCTTTGCTCTGGACCGCTGCTTTTATGCTTATGAGACTATAGTATCACCACTGATCCACCTGCTAGCAGTAGAGGTTGTTACGTGGTGTAATTTGTACCTCTCTGTGAGGAAGCTTTATGATAACTAATATTCGTAACTGCATTTGGAGTTCCCTAATACATATGCTGACATTATTTCAGTTTCATATATGGGGAGTCAATTTGGAAGATGCAATAAACATTCTTCTGCATCTGTGTTTCTTCTACACCAGTTCTAAAAACTAGCTCTCAAAAACCTTCAAACAGTGTATCTCCTGATAACTGCATTCAACTGCCATGCCATCTTGCCACTGTAAAGGAATGCATATGACCAGTCCCAGAATAACGGTGATCAATCACTGTGGAGGTTAATCCCTCTCCTTTGGAACCTCAACCAAGCACGAGAGGAACTCCAACGAGAGGAGGGGGCCCAAGAGAGATTTCCCTGCTCCTCACGCGACTCCTTTATATTGCTTCTTCACAGGACTCTTCCTGAGACAACGAGAAACGCAGCTTCTCTTCTCCCCACCTTCGCTTGCATGCAGGAAAAGAAGCCAAGCCCTTGAGACTGCATTAGGATGGGCAGGAGCCACATTTTTAAAAGGCTGACAGTGGAGCAAGTCCAAGCTCCTAAACAAGGCACCAAAGTCACGCTCCCAAAGACAGACAATGTGAAATCCTGATGACAACCGCCCTAAAACTCTCTTCAAACGTCACTACGCTCAAACCTTATTTAGGGAATTAAGTAAATCTAATGGCATTTTCAGTGACCTCATATTTTGAAATGGAGGAACTGAAGACAAGGGAGGG